CAGGCTTTTAGCCTATCAGTTTGTCACGCTCTCCAAGAGTGGTTTGAGGCGGATGATCTCTGCCGTATTACCTTCGTATACGTCCCATCCGCTTTGCGGTGGGATATCCATGGTGAGGCACACAAGTATGTCACCGAACTCAAAGTCAGGGTTGGACATCGCAAGACGGACAACTCTATAGACGCGCTACGCTCCCAAGCCGCACACTCAGTCCTGGACTCGTGGAGTTCCACTTTCCAGGATCCAACCTACCGAGGCTCTGAATTCTTAGAGCTCCAACAGCCTGACAGGCGGCCGCTACAGCCATCGTACCTCAATGGGGGACCTTGGCTTTCAACTTTCGGGCACAGTATTACTGAGTTTGCTCGCGTTTGCCAGTGTATAACTGGCCATGCGCCCATTGGAGCGTACTACTGTCGCTTCAAGATCAATGAGCCTCATGGCTGCACTTGCGGGGCTGCTTTGCAGTCCTGTCAGCATATTCTCTTTTGCTGTCGCAATCGCTACTCCATGCATTACCCCCGGGGATATTGCATCTTTTATGAAGTACAACCCCACAGCGTTTGGCTTCAACCGGGACCCTTCAGGTGTCGGGTAATCGTTGTGGGCAGGGTTATTCCTCCTTTAGGGGGATTTAGGGTGAATTAACACCACGAACCTAAGGGTTCGACGACCCGGGCCAGCTTCACTTTTTCGTGCTTGCAGCCACTATCAGAGCAGGTTGCGGTGCTGCTAACTTTCTGCGTCTGGTTTTGGGCAGGCGCTTCTCTGGCTTGTCGGCCTCAAGACACCCTGCCACCTCCCGGGTGGTGCTCTTCTTATTTCATTTGCGCTGCGTGGCCTCCGAACAGCGATCGACGACTTTGGGGCGTAGCGGAACCTCGATGGTCTCCTCCCCTTATCCTGATGCACCGTTTTCACAAGGTGGGTTGCCCTCTGGGGAGTTTCAGCATTTGAGCCCAAAGAGTCTTGGTTGGGGGGGCAGTTGTGCTTTAGTGCTTAACCCAGTAACTGGGCTGTGTAGCGTATGTGTCTGTAAATAGCGAGCGGCCTGCCATCGAGCACCACTATATAAATTGTTGATCAAAAAAAAACACTTCCTGCTCTAGTGCACCTCAATATCTGCCACAAGCTGCACAGATTGTCCAGATCGCCTTTGCTGAAGGACACCTTTCTAAATCAACTTTCTGCTGTCTCACCTTTCTGACAATTGGAGTAACGGTTGAGACTGAGAGCCTTTGCACTCTTCTTGTAGTTCCATCACTCATCAATGTTAAAATTCACTCAGATCGCAACTCATCAGCCCTCTATGCTCATGTTGGGAACCTCCTCTTCAACCACCATTGCCTAGCCCTTCTTGAAATTGATAGCAACTATGAATTCAACCCCTTCAATTATGCCTCCATATACTTTGATCTCTTGTTTTCTTCATGTGCTTGTTGGAGCTCTCTTCATGAGCTCTACCTCACTTTGCACTGCACCACCAATCTTTTTTTATTTTTTTTTTTTATCAACAATTTATATAGCAGTGCTCGATGGCAGCCCGCTCGCTATCTACAAACACGTACGCTACGCGGCCTGGGTACTAAGTAAACTACTAAAAGACGTCCGCCCCCCCAACCACGAGCCTTATGGCTCAAACGCCGAAGCTCCCATAAAGCCAGACCCACCTTGCGAAAACGGTGACGCGGGATAAGGGGAAGAGACCATCGAGGCCCCGCTAAACCCCAAAGTCGTCGGACGCTGTTCGGAGGCCACGCAGCGCAAATGAGATAAGAACAGCACCACCCAGGAGGTGGCAGGGTGTCTTAAGGCCGACAAGCCAGAGATGCGCCTGCCCGAAACCAGATGCAGAGAGTTAGCGGCGCCGCGACTTGCTACAATAGCGGCCACAAGCGCGAAGAGATAGCGGTAGGCGCAGGTCTTCGAACCCTAGAGCTCAGTGGTGTCAATTCACCATAAATCCCCCGAAAGGAGGAACAACCCCGCCCACAGCGATTATCCGACACCCGATGGGTCCCAGTCGAAGCCAAACGCCGTAGGGTTGTACTTCATAAACGATGCAATATCCCCGAGAAAACGGGGATAGTGTACAGAATATCTATCGCGACAGCGAAAGAGGATGTGCTGGTGGGACTGCAAAGCAGCCCCGCAAGTGCAGCCGTGAGGCTCATTGATCTTAAAGCGACGGTAATACGCTCCAATGGGCGCGTGGCCAGTTATGCACCAGCAAACGCGAGCGAACTCAGTAATACTGTGTCCGAAAGTTGAGAGCCAAGGTCCCCCGTTGAGGTACGATGGCTGTAGCGGCCGCCCGTCAGGCTGTTGAAGCTCTAAAAACTCAGAGCCTCGGTAGGTTGGATCTTGGAAAGTGGAGCTCCACGAATCCAAGACTGAGTGCGCGGCTCGAGAGCGTAGCGCGTCTATGGAGTTGTCCGTCTTACGACGTCCAACCCTGACTTTAAGCTCTGTGACGTACTTGTGTGCCTCACCATGGATGTCCCACCGCAGAGCAGACGGGACGTAGACGAAGGTAATGCGACGGAGATCATCCGCCTCAAACCACTCTTTAAGAACGCGACAAACTGACAGGCTGAAAGCCTGACCAGAATGCACGCCGGGGTCCACCGCTCTATGGGCTGAGCCCATAGAGTCAGTAAAGACCATAATATGTTGGCAGTTTGCCTGCTTGACAGCAAGGCGCACTGCGCACGAAATGGCATTGAGCTCCGCATCAGGGGCGGTAACTCTGCCAGAGACATAGCGCGTCCTTTCGAGCTCGCGATGTCCCTTGTAGATTATAGCAGCCGAAGCCGCTTGATACTGGTTGGACTGAGGGACAGAGCCATCAGTTGCAGCCAGTACTGTTAGTGGGTCAGCCCTCGCTCTCGCGATGAGCTCGTCTAGATATGGACGCCTATCCTGGGTAGGATCGCGTTCGTCAAAGCGGAGACGGTCCGCATAGCGGTCCAGTAACCGATCGCCTGGACGAGCTTCGGGCGCAAAAGGCTCGAAGCTCTCAGTTAAGGTGTGGACACGCTCGTCCACTTCCATGACAGTGCTCTTGACTTTCCCTCGCATAGCTGGGGTCATCAAGGTGGATGAGCGAGCATGTGGGGCAGCTCACTTGAGGAGTCCCTCGCCCATCATAGAGCGAAGGGGGTGGGTGTCGGAGAGGGTGGCTACGCGATACACTGCGCGCGTCGCCAGCTTCTTCAGCATAAGGTGGACGGGGATGAGACCTGCTAAGGCCTCAAGACTGCCTGTGGGGGAGGTGCGGAAGGCACCTGTAATCCATAGAGCAGCTTTCCGCTGCATCCGTTTCAACTGGTTCATCGCACCCTTATTGCGGGCGCCATCAAAATACCAGAGACGATAGCCGTATGTGGCAATAGGAACCACGCACGACCGATATAAGAGGCGGCGCTGTTTAGGCGAGAGCCCTCTAGTGGAGTTCCCGAGCATGTGCATGGCTTGCAAGGTGGTAAACGCCTTGGTGGCGTAGTAGCGAACGTGCTCATGAAACGTGAGCCCGCGGTCAAAGTAGAAGCCCAAGTACCTCCAATAGGTCTTAGGTTTCAAAGGTGTGGCGCTGGTATGTGGGGCATACCCCAGATTCAGCGAGGGATTGTAGGCATCACGTCGACGCGAAAAGTGAAACAGCTCGGTCTTGTCGTGTTCGAGAACGAGCGCGAAGGCAACAAAGAGAAGGTAAATAATTTTGTAGGCCTTACGCAGGCCCACATTATTATCATCAAGTTGTTTGGATTGGGCCAGAATGGTCCCATCATCCACAAAGGACAGCAGCGTCATGTTGACGCAAGGACGTGTTTGTCCTTGAGCAGCTCCTTTAGGTGGACCCAAGTAACATGGTCCGGTCCTGGTGCAGAGGAGTTGGAGCACCCCTTAAGGGCACTCAACAACTCATGCTCCGAGAAGTCAGCCCACTCACGGACCGGCTCGTCGGGAAGCTCGTCTAAGACTGAGGCATCGTACTCACGACCAGAGGCCGAGTTGTAAGTGCCGTGGAGGGCGTCCCAGAGGTCGTCCATATCATGACAAGGCTGGTCGCCATTGCGAATAGCCTCACAGGGTGGTAGCTTGCGCTGTTTGACCCATTCCATTAGGTCCCACGGGCGCTTGCGAGAAGTAGCAATCTCCGCGATACGTTCATCGAAGAAATCACGTTTTTTTTTTTTTTTTTTTTTTTTTTTTTTTTTTTTTTTTTTTTTTTTTTATCAACAATTTATATAGCGGTGCTCGATGGCAGCCCGCTTGCTATCTACAAACACGTACGCTACACAGCCTGGTTACTAAGTAAACCACTAAAGGACGACCGCCCCCCCAACCAAGACCCTTTGGGCTCAAACGCCGAAACTCCCCAGAGGGCAACCCACCTCGCGAAAACGGTGCATCGGGATAAGGGGAGGAAACCATCGAGGTTCCGCTACGCCCCAAAGTCGTCGATCGCTGTTCGGAGGCCACGCAGCGCAAATGAGATAAGAAAAGCACCACCCGGGAGGTGGCAGGGTGTCTTAAGGCCGACCAGCCAGAGAAGCGCCTGCCCGAAACCAGACGCAGAAAGTTAGCGGCGCCGCAGTCCGCTACAATAGCGGCCGCAAGCACCTAGAAATAGCGGCGGGCGCAGGTCTGAACAACCCCGCCCACCACGATTATCCGACACCCGACGGGTCCCGGTTGAAGCCAAACGCCGTGGGGTTGTACTTCATAAACGATGCAATATCCCCGAGAAAGCGGGGATAGTGTACAGAATATCTATCGCGACAGCGAAAGAGGATATGCTGGCTGGACTGCAAAGCAGCCCCGCAAGTGCAGCCGTGAGGCTCATTGATCTTGAAGCGACGGTAATACGCTCCAATGGGCGCATGGCCAGTTATACACCGGCAAACGCGAGCGAACTCAGTAATACTGTGTCCGAATGTTGAAAGCCAAGGTCCCCCATTGAGGTACGATGGCTGTAGCGGCCGCCCGTCAGGCTGTTGAAGCTCTAAAAATTCAGAGCCTCGGTAGGTTGGATCTTGGAAAGTGGAACTCCACGAATCCAAGACTGAGTGCGCAGCTCGAGAGCGAAGCGCGTCTATAGAGTTGTCCGTCTTGTGACGCCCAACCCTGACTTTGAGTTCGGTGACGTACTTGTGTGCCTCACCATGGATATCCCACCGCAAAGCGGAAGGGACGTAGACGAAGGTAATGCGACGGAGATCATCCGCCGCAAACCACTCTTGAAGAGCGCGACATACTGACAGACTAAAAGCCTGACCAGAATGCACGCCGGGGTCAACCGCTCTATGGGCTGAGCCCATAGAGTCAGTGAAGACCATAATATGTTGGCAGTTTGCCTGCTTGACAGCAAGGCGCACTGCACACGAAATGGCATTGAGTTCCGCATCTGGGGCGGTAACTCTGCCAGAGACATAGCGGGTCCTTTCGAGCTCGCGATGTCCCTTGTAGATTATAGCAGCCAAAGCCGCCTGATACTGGTTGGACTGAGGGACAGAGCCATCAGTTGCAGCCAGTACTGTTAGTGGGTCAGCCCTTGCTTTCGCAATGAGCTCGTCTAGATATGGGCGCCTATCCTGGCCAGGATCACGCTCGTCAAAATGGAGACGGTCCGCATAGCGGTCCAGTAACCGGTCGCCTGGACGAGCTTCGGGCGCAAAGGGCTCGAAGCTCTCAGTTAAGGTGTGGACGCGCTCGTCCACTTCCATGACAGTGCTCTTGACTTTCCCCCGCATGGCTGGGGTCATCAAGGCGGCAGAGCGAGCGTGTGGTGCAGCTCGCTTGAGAAGGCCCTCGCCCATCATAGAGCGAAGGGGGTGAGTGTCTGAGAGGGTGGCGACACGATACACTGCACGCGTTGCCAGCTTCTTCAGCATAAGATGGACAGGAATGAGGCCCGCTAGAGCCTCAAGACCGCCTGTAGGTGAGGTGCGGAAGGCACCCGTGATCCATAGAGCAGCTTTACGCTGCATCCGTTTCAACTGGTTCATCGCACCCTTATAACGGGCGCCGTCGAAGTACCAGAGACGATAGCCATATGTGGCAATGGGGACCACACACGACCGATATAGCGCTGTTTAAGCTAGTAGAGTTCCCGAGCATGCGCATGGCCTGCACGGTGGTGAACGCCTTGGTGGCGTAGTAGCGAACGTGCTCATGGAAGGTGAGCCCGCGGTCGAAGTAGAAGCCCAAGTACCTCCAATAGGTCTTGGGCTTCAAGGGTGTAGTGCCGGTATGTGGGGCGTACCCCAAATCCAGCGAGGGATTGTAGGCGTCTCGTCGACGCGAGAAATGAAACAGCTCGGTCTTGTCGTGCTCAAGAACGAGCGCGAAGGCAACAAAGAGAAGGTAGACAATTTTGTAGGCCTTACGCAGGCCCACATTATTATCATCGAGTTGCTTGGATTGGGCCAAAATGGTCCCATCATCCACAAAGGAGAGTAGCGTCATGTTGAGTGGCGCCGCCTTGATATAGAAGAGCTTCATTACCGGCGCAATGAACAGCCCAGAGATAACAGGCGAGAGAGCAGAGCCCTGCCCGACACCCACGTCTGCAGACCGCGAGTCGGATCGAAAGGCGTTCCAACAGTAAACTGTGGAGCGGCCTACAAGGTAAGAGGCAAAGAATTCCACCAGAACCGGCGAGAATCCTTGCTTGCGAAGAACAGCCATGAACATCTCATGGTTGATAGAAGGGAAGAACTGCGCGATGTCAAAAGCCAGCGCGCTAGTCTGGAGACCCTTAACCCACCCCGCTCGCACGAGATGAGTCAGAATCAATCCAGCATCCTCAGTTGACCTCTGGCGGATGCCGCCAAGTTGGTTAGGATGGAAGATATCATGCTTGACGGCGTCAAACTGTATCCTGTTGGCAATCATCTTTTCGATAAGTTTACCGAAAGTGATGAGGAGTACGATTGGCCTGAAGGCCTTCGGCACAGAATAGGAGGGCTTGTTCGGCTTCGGAACGATAACCGATAGCGACTCCTTGAATATACGTGGCCAATGACCCACCCGCAGGCAAGCATTAGCCAACACGATGAAGAGCGCAAGGACGTGTTTGTCCTTGAGCAGCTCCTTTAGGTGGACCCATGTAACATGGTCCGGTCCTGGTGCAGAGGAGTTGGAGCACCCCTTAAGGGCACTCAACAACTCATGCTCCGAGAAGTCAGCCCACTCGCGGACCGGCTCGTCGGGAAGCTCGTCTAAGACTGAGGCATCGTACTCGCGACCAGAGGCCGAGTTGTAAGTGCCGTGGAGGGCGTCCCAGAGGTCGTCCATATCATGGCAAGGCTGGTCGCCATTGCGAATAGCCTCACAGGGTGGTAGCTTGCGCTGTTTGACCCATTCCATTAGGTCCCACGGGCGCTTGCGAGAAGTAGCGATCTCCGCGATGCGTTCGTCGAAGAAGTCACGTTTGGCGTCCTTACACGCCTTCTTAAACTTGTTGTAATCAGCCAGTGAGCGGCTCAACTGATATACTCCGAATGTCTCCGAGCACTCATCCGTCCACCAGGACTTGGAGCGCTTGGTAGGTTTGGACTCGGTCGAGTGGGCAAGCCACGCGTCCGAGAACGCTGTCGCGATAGCATCGGCTAAAGCTTCAACGCCTTCCTTGGTTGCCGGGGCTGCGACAGGAATAGCCGCAAGATCCCGGAGGATGTCCGAAATGAGAGACTTTTCAGCCTCGCTTCCGGGTTTAATTGTCCGTCGCCCAGATCCGGGCGGTTCGGGACCGATATCAAGGTCTGTGCAGATCGGGACATGATCTGACGGACCCTGGAGATCGTGCTCCAATCTGGGCATCGAGATTAAGATCTCAGATGGGGCTAAGAATACAAGATCCAGAACATTGGATCTCTGGTTTGGATTAGGACTGATCCTCGTTGGTCCATGGTTAGAAGGTCGTGCCCACTCGAGGCCGATCTGAGATGCGGTATCCCGCAGTGATATCGCCGTCGACGACTCGCCATGCTCATAGTCATCCCAAGTCGTTGACACGCAGTTAAAGTCACCAGCCATATAAACGAAAGGTGGTAAAGAATGCACACGAGCAGCTAGGTGCTCAATGGCTGTGTGTTGATCGTCGGAGTAGACGTTCATTAGATTAAGAACCTCACCCCCACTGAAGAGGGAGAGGACGAGGATGTCGCGATGGTCGACGGAAGAAATCACGTTTGGCGTCCTTACACGCCTTCTTAAACTTGTTGTAATCAGCAAGCGAGCGGCTCAACTGATATACTCCGAATGTCTCCGAGCACTCGTCCGTCCACCAGGACTTGGAGCGCTTGGTAGGTTTGGACTCGGTCGAATACTGCACCACCAATCCTTCCAATCTGTGCAAGACTTTATCAACAATATCAAGTCTTCAGGTGCTTCATGTTATCTACAATGATATGGACATTTTAGATTCAGGCATTCAATATGAATTTACTGGCGTTATACACACATTTCAATTCTTGCAGGAAATGCATTATATCTATCAGGATATCTGCCAGCTTGCCTTTTTTCCCTCCTTCTCTGCACCAAAGCTATCAACAATCTATTTCATACAAGAGGATTTGAATTCCAACAACGAATCCATTGAGAACCTGTTCGAGTCCATGGCTACAAATATGCCACTGGCTCCATTGAAGAAAATTAGCTTTGATGTTACTTGGGACATGGAAGCCGGTTTTGACTGGAATGATTTTGAAATTAATAATTTTCTTGAAGATTCCTCTCTTCATTGTCTTGCTGTATTTTCTTCTATGGAGACATTTTGCTTTAATGCTTTAATGAACTTGACCAGGTTATCCAATTCTGTGTTCACATCTCTTTCTTCTTCTTGGCCATCTCTTACATCTTTTACTCTTGGATCTCGTTTTACCCCTTTGGCTACACAGCGTCCCACTGCAACTACAACATCCTTTTATAGTTTTATAACTCATTGTCCTCATCTTCAAACCCTCCAGTTTCCATTTCAATCTTCTTGAAAGCCCAAAACTTTATTCAGTTCTTCTTCTTTGATGTTGAAAGAATTTGGGCTCTTTGGACATATCAAATCCATCTGCTATTGCATTGACTTCTTTCATTTCCTCTTTTCAATATGCCCATACCTCCACCGTATTTCTTTCTATAGCAGCCATATTCCTGATGTCCAGAACTACTTCATATCACAACTTAAGCAAGATGGATGGTTCATTGTTGATGAGATTTTTCCGTCTGTATATTTGTTGTGCATGTTCAAAGTGCCCTGCTGATTTGTCTTCTAGCAGCGCATATGAGCTTGAGGAATCCTCAGAGTTTGAAGATAATGACTGAAGAAAATCGGCACAATTTTGAAGTTGGAGGACTTATCCACATGTAGACTTTTTTGTTCTGAAAAGTAGCTTGACAGTGTAAAGAAGGACTATATTGCTCCAATTGATAAAGATCAATATCTCATGTTGCTATTCCTTCTATGAAATAATTTTCCTTTCTCTAAAGTGAACACCCTAAATATTAAATCATTAGCAAGACCAGCACCAAATCATTGATGAGATTCTCACAATATTCTCCCATTGCAGATACCGTATAGCCAATATCTTTAACCATTTCATTTCCTCCACACTTGATGGGATTCTTCCATACCAAACTGTCTTCATGTGCTTCAAGCCAATGAGAGCATTGAGTGAAAGGAATAAACACCATTCCATAGTCATGAAGATTTCATATAGTCGCTGGACACATATAGTCAACCTAGCACTGATGTCCAGGAAGATCAGCCTAGGCAGATGTCGATGCTTGAAGATCAAATCCACGTTGTTGATACTTGTCAAAGCCTTGACGAGTTTTGTCAGTTTGAACCCTGATTATCCCCTTTCCCATGAGCGTCAATGTGGGATATAAACACACCACTCCATATGAGGCTATATAGTTCATAACCAGAGTAGAATGAAATTCTACAATAGGTTGAATGGCAGAGCTTGTGTGGGATATGATAATATTGATGGTCCGATTGCTTTGAGGATGCTTGAAGAGCAGAATGTCGAGAACACTGGCCATGTCATAAGCTGTGTCTTTGTGGTCATCATTCTCCTTCCATCCTCTCTCCACAATATATGCCTTGAGGATATGCATCCACTGCACAGGAACATAGATATCGAGATCTTGAGGGATAAATGTGCCATGAAAGAAGACAAGGAGAGCATAAGAGCCAGAGATTATAGTGTGGCTAATACCCATGACCGCAAGGAGAATGTTGGGAGGTCCCAAAAGATAGCTTGCTGTGATTTCTTCAACCGTGATGTGCAAATCCTGCTGAACAGCATCAAAAGCAGGATTTCCTGCTCTGTCCTCATCATTGCTATATGCTTCACATAGGGCTTCTATAGGCATCTGTGAGCATTTGAATAGTGACTTTAGATGGGAGACTCACTGCTGTTTGGCAACATTTCTCAATGTGCTGGCAAGAGATAGAGAACAACTTGACAATCGCCTAAGGAGTATTTTGCAGAAAGTATGTCTGATGTTGGTTTCTCCATTTGGCTGAATTAATCTCCACCCTTGACCTGGAAGTTGATTTTCTTGAAATTTTAATTCAAATATACGGCGCCTCCAACCATATCCAATTAAAGCCCTTCTATATTCTACTCAATTCTCATCTGCCGAATCTTACTCTCTGTCTCCTTGACCTCCTCATCCTGATATCCTACTTTCCATTTAAGTGTGGCTGATATTATGCTCTGGTTCTTGACTCAATTTCAGGCAATGGCGGCATTCTATGTTTGCATTTAGTCAGCTATATTGGTGAATGACATCTTTTTTTTTTTTTTTTTTTTTGTTTTTTTGATCAACAACTTATATAGCAGTGCTCAATGGCAGCCCGCTGGCTATCTACAAACACGTACACTACACAGCCTGGTTACTAAGTTAACCACTAAAGGACGACCGCCTCCCCAACCAAGACCCTTTGGGCTCAAATGCCGAAACTCCCCAGAGGGCAACCCACCATGCGAAAACGGTGCATCGGGATAAGGGGAGGAAACCATCAAGGTTCCGCTATGCCCCAAAGTCGTCGATCGCTGTTCAGAGGTGACGCAGCGCAAATGAGATAAGAAGAGCACCACCCGGGAGGTGGCAAGGTGTCTTAAGGCCGATCAGCCAAAGATGCGCCTACCCGAAACCAGACGCAGAGAGTTAGCGGTGCCGCAACACGCTATAATAGCAGCCGCAAGCGCGAAGGAGTGAAACGGGCGCAGGTCTCCGAACCCTAAGGTCCGAGGGTGTCAATTCACTGATAAATCCTCCGAAAGGAGGAATAACCACCTCCCCCACCGGCGGTCTTGAGGCTCTAGTGGGTCTCATCCCTGTCCACCTTATGCTGAAGAAGCTGGCAACGCGCGCAGTGTATCGCGTCGCCACCCTCTCGGATACTCACCCCCTTCGCTCTATGATGGGCAAGGGCTCCTTAAGCGAGCCGCGCCACATGCTCGATCAGCCGCCTTGATGACCCCAGCCATGCAAGGGAAAGTCAAGAGCACCGTCATGGAGGTGGACGAGCGCGTCCACACCTTAACTGAGAGCTTTGAGCCCTTTGCGCCCGAAGCTCGCCCAGGCGATCGGTTACTGGACCGCTATGCGGACCGTCTCCACTTTGACGAGCGCGATCCTACCCAGGATAGGTGTCCATATCTAGACGAGCCCATCGCGAGAGCGAGGGCCGACCCACTAATAGTACTGGCTGCAACTGATGGCTCTGTCCCCCAGTCCAACCAGTACCAGGCGGCTTCGACTGCTATAATCTACAAGGGACATCGCGAGCTCGAAAGGACTCGCTACGTCTCTGGCAGAGTCACCGCCCCAGATGCGGAACTCAATGCCATCTCGTGTGCAGTACGCCTTGCTGTTAAGCAGGCAAACTGCCAACATATTATGGTCTTTACCGACTCCATGGGCTCTGCCCATAGAGCAGTTGACCCCAGCGTGCACTCTGGTCAGGCTTTTAGCCTGTCAGTTTGTCACGCTCTTCAAGAGTGGTTCAAGGCAGATGATCTCCGCCGCATCACCTTCGTCTACGTCCCATCTGCTTTGCGGTGGGATATCCATGGTGAAGCACATAAGTATGTCACCAACCTTAAAGTCAGGGTTGGACATCGTAAGACGGACAACTCCATAGACGCGCTGTGCTCCCGAGCCGCGCACTCAGGTCTGGATTCGTGGAGCTCCACTTTCCAGGACCCATCCTACCGTGGCTCTGAATTCTTAGAGCTCCAACAGCCTGACGGGCGGCCGCTACAGCCATCGTACCTCAGTGGGGGACCTTGGCTCTCAACTTTCGGACACAGCATCACTGAGTTTGCTCGCGTTTGCCGGGGTATAACTGGCCATGCGCCCATTGGAGCGTACTACCGTCGCTTCAAGATCAATGAGCCTCATGGCTGCACTTGTGGGGCTGCCTTGCAGTCCTGTCAGCATGTCCTCTTTCACTGTCGTGATCGCTACTCCATGCACTACCCCCGCTTTCTTGGGGATATTGCATCTTTTATGAAGTACAACCCCACGGCGTTTGGCTTCAACCGGGACCCTTCGGGTGTCCGATAATCGCTGTGGGCGGGGTTGTTCCTCCTTTCGGGGGATTTATGGTGAATTGACACCACTGAGCTCTAGGGTTCGAAGACCTGCGCCCGCCGCTATTCTTTGCGCTTGCGGCCGCTATTGTAGCGTGTTGCAACGCCGCTAACTTTCTGCGTCTGGTTTCGGGTAGGCGCATCTTTGGCTTGTTGGCCTTAAGACACCCTGCCACCTCCCGGGTGGTGCTGTTTTATTTCATTTGCGCTGCGTGGCCTCTGAACAGCGTCCGACGGCTGTGGGGTTTAGCGGGGCCTCGATGGTCTCCTCCCCTTATCCCATGTCACTGTTTTCGCAAGGTGGGTCTGGCTTTATGGGAGTTTAGGCGTTTGAGCCATAAGGCTCGCGGTTGGGGGGGCGGACATCTTTTAGTAGTTTACCTAGTACCCAGGCCGCGTAGTGTACGTGTTTGTAGATAGCGAGCGGGCTGCCGTCGAGCACCGCTATATAAATTGTTGATTAAAAAAAAAAAAAAAAAAAAATGGCAGCCGAAGCCGCCTGATACTGGTTGGACTGAGGGACAGAGCCATCAGTTGCAGCCAGTACTGTTAGTGGGTCGGCCCTTGCTTTCGTGATGAGCTCGTCTAGATATGGGCGCCTATGCTGGGCAGGATCACGCTCGTCAAAGTGGAGATGGTCCGCATATCGCCTGGGCGAGCTTCAGGCGCAAAAGGTTCAAAGCTCTCAGTTAAGGTGTGGACGTGCTCATCCACTTCCATGACAGTGCTCTTGACTTTCCCTCGCATAGCTGGGGTCATCAAGGCGGCGGAGCGAGCATGTGGTGCGGCTCGCTTGAGGAGTCCCTCGCCCATCATGGAGCGAAGAGGGTGGGTGTCTGAGAGGGTGGCGACGCGATACACTGCGTGCGTTGCCAGCTTCTTCAGCATAAGGTGGACGGGGATGAGACCCGCTAGAGCCTCAAGACTGCCTGTGGGGGAGGTGCGGAAGGCACCCATAATCCATAGAGCAGCTTTTTGCTGCATCCGTTTCAACTGGTTCATCGCGCCCTTATTGCAGGCGCCATCGAAATACCAGAGACGATAGCCGTATGTGGCAATGGGAACTACACATGACTGATATAAGAGGTGGCGCTGTTTAGGTGAAAGACCTCTAGTAGAGTTGCCGAGCATGCGCATGGCCTGCACTGTGGTGAACGCCTTGGTGGCGTAGTAGCGAACGTGCTCATGAAATGTGAGTCCGCGGTCAAAGTAGAAGCCCAAGTACCTCCAATAGGTCTTGGGCTTCAAAGATGTAGCACCGGTATGTGGGGCATACCCCAGATCCAGCGAGGGATTGTAGGCGTCTCGTCAACGCGAAAAGTGGAACAGCTCGGTCTTGTCGTGTTCAAGAACGAGCGCGAAAGCAACAAAGAGAAGGTAGATAATCTTGTAGGCCTTACGCAGGCCCACATTATTATCATCGAGTTGTTTGGACTGGGCTAAAATGGTCCCATCATCCACAAAGGAGAGTAGCGTTGTGTTGAGCGGCGCCGCTTTGATGTAGAAGAGCTTCATTACCGGAGCAATGAACAGCCCAGAAATAACAGGTGAGAGAGCTGAGCCCTGCCTGACACCCACATCTGCAGACCGCAAGTCGGATTGGACGGTGTTCCAGCAGTAGACTGTGGAGCGACCGACAAGATAGGAGGCAAAGAACTCCACCAGAACCGGCAAGAACCCTTGCTTGCGAAGAACAGCCATGAACATGTCACGGTTGCGTTCCTCTTTCTCTCGAATGCCCACTAGTCAACAAGTGCAAACAACCAGCTCACCGTCTCGCACATCGTCTAGCGCTTTATCGACAAGCCAGAAGACTACTTTTGATCGTTCGTACCGCTTTCGCAACACATGTCCGACCTCCCACCGAGAGGTTGGGGCGTGAGGCCCCCCGGGGCGCTTCCTAGGAGCCATCGTGGGGGGACTCAGGCTCTGCACCACCAGCCATACCACCATCGGTCGCTGGCTCATCGTCTTTTGGCGGTGATGCCTCGCCAATCTCGCCAGACCCTACCTCGACTAGGGCCACTTATTCGACAGTCGTGCCAGCTCATCTCGCCACACGTCGCCTCGCCGCAGGTCCCGTTCCACCACGGGTTCCGCCCATTCGTCCGCAGATGAGTCTGACTCAGGGACGGCCCAACCCCAGGAGATGGAAGTTGAGGGCACTCAGGGAGGGGAGGAGGTCTCGAGGGACCCTTCCGTCAACCTACTCTTAGGTCAATATGCCTTGAAGTTCCGAGACACAGTCGAGGATCTTCCTGGCGATCTCGAGGTATTGACCACCTCCATTGCGAAGGCCACAGACTGGATTTTTTTTTTTTTTTTTTTTTTGATCAACAATTGATATAGCGGTGCTCGATGGCAGCCCGCTCGCTATCTACAAACACGTACACTACGTGGCCTGGGTACTAGGTAAACTACTAAAAGACGTCCGCCCCCCCAACCACGAGCCTTATGGCTCAAACGCCGAAGCTCCCATAAAGCCAGACCCACCTCGCGAAAACGGTGACGTGGGATAAGGGGAAGAGACCATCGAGGCCCCGCTAAACCCCAAAGTCGTCAAACGCTGTTTGGAGGCCACGCAGCGCAAATGAAATAAGAGAGCACCACCCGGGAGGTGGCAAGGTGTCTTGAGGCCGACAAGCCAGAGATGCGCCTGCCCGAGACCAGACGCAGAAAGTTAGCGGCGCCGCAACCCGCTACAATAGCGGCCGCAAGCGCGAAGAAATAGCGGCAGGCAAAGGTCTTCGAACCCTAGAGCTCGGTGGTGTCAATTCACCATAAATCCCCCCGAAAGGAGGAACAACCCCGCCCACAGCGATTATCCGACACCCGATGGGTCCCGGTCGAAGCCAAACGCCGTAGGGTTGTACTTCATAAACGATGCAATATCCCCGAGGAAACGAGGATAGTGTACAGAATATCTATCGCGACAGCGAAAGAGGATATGCTGGCGGGACTGCAAAGCAGCCCCGCAAGTGCAGCCATGAGGCTCGTTGATCTTGAAGCGACGATAATATGCTCCAATGGGCGCGTGGCCAGTTATACACCGGCACATGCAGGCGAACTCAGTGATACTGTGTCCGAAGGTTGAAAGCCATGGTCCCCCATTGAGGTACGATGGCTGTAGCGGCCGCCCGTCAGGCTGTTGAAGCTCTAAAAATTCAGAGCCTCGGTAAGTTGGATCTTGGAAAGTGGAACTCCACGAATCCAAGACTGAATGCGCAGCTCGAGAGCGTAGCGCGTCTATGGAGTTGTCCGTCTTATGACGTCCAACCCTGACTTTGAGCTCTGTGACGTACTTGTGTGCCTCACCATGGATGTCCCACCGCAGAGCAGAAGGGACGTAGACGAAGGTTATGTGACGGAGATCGTCCGCCTCAAACCACTCTTTAAGAGCGCGACAAACTGACAGGCTGAAAGCCTGACCAGAATGCACGGAGGGGTCCACCGCTCTATGGGCCGAGCCCATAGAGTCAGTAAAGACCATAATATGTTGGCAATTTGCCTGCTTGACAGCAAGGCGCACTGCACATGAGATAGCATTGAGTTCCGCATCTGGGGCGGTAACTCTGCCAGAGACATAACGAGTCCTCTCGAGCTCACGATGTCCCTTGTAGATTATAGCAGCCAAAGCCGCCTGATACTGGTTGGACTGAGGGACAGAGCCATCAGTTGCAGCCAGTACTGTTAGTGGGTCGGCCCTCGCTCTCGCGATGAGCTCGTCTAGATATGGGCGCCTATCCTGGGTAGGATCACGTTCGTCAAAGCGGAGACGGTCCGCATAGCGGTCCAGTAACCGATCGCCTGGATGAGCTTTGGGCACAAAAGGCTCGAAGCTCTCAGTTAAGGTGTGGACACGCTGGTCCACTTCCATGACAGTGCTCTTGACTTTCCCCCGCATAGCCGGGGTCATCAAGGCGGATGAGCGAGCATGTGGTGCAGCTCGCTTGAGGAGTCCCTCGCCCATCATAGAGCGAAGAGGGTGGGTGTCTGAGAGGGTGGCTACGCGATACACTGCACGCGTTGCCAGCTTCTTCAGCATAAGGTGGACAGGGATGAGACCTGCTAAGGCCTCAAGACCGCCTGTGGGTGAGGTGTGGAAAGCACCCGTGATCCATAGAGCAGCTTTCCGCTGCATCTGTTTCAACTGGTTCATCGCACCCTTATTACGGGCGCCATCAAAATACCAGAGACGATAGCCGTATGTGCCAATGGGAACCACGCACGACCAATATAAGAGGCGGCGCTGTTTAGGCGAAAGACCTCTAGTAGAGTTTCCGAGCATGCGCATGGCCTGCACGGTGGTAAACGCCTTGGTGGCATAGTAGCGAACGTGCTCATGAAAGGTGAGCCCACGGTCAAAGTAGAAGCCCAGGTACCTCCAATAGGTCTTGGGCTTCAAAGGTGTAACACCGGTGTGAGGGGCGTACCCCAGATCCAGCGAGGGATTGTAGGCGTCTCGTCGACGCGAAAAGTGAAACAACTCGGTCTTGTCGTGTTCAAGAACGAGCGCGAAGGCAACAAAGAGAAGGTAGATAATTTTTTAGGCCTTACGCAGGCCCACATTATTATCATCAAGCTGTTTGGATTGGGCCAAAATGGTCCCATCATCCACAAAGGACAGCAGTGTCATGTTGAGCGGCGCCGCTTTGATGTAAAAGAGCTTCATTACCGGAGCAATGAACAGCCCAGAGATAACAGGCGAGAGAGCGGAGCCCTGCCCGACACCCACGTCCGCAGACCGCGAGTCGGATTGGAAGGTGTTCCAACAGTAAACTGTGGAACGGCCTACAAGGTAGGAGGCAAAGAACTCCACCAGAACCGGCGAGAACCCTTGCTTGCGAAGTACAGCCATGAACATCTCATGGTTGATAGAAGGGAAGAACTGCGCGATGTCAAAAGCCAGCGCGCTAGTCTGGAGACCCTTAACCCACCCCGCTCGCACGAGATGGGTCAGAATCAATCCAGCATCCTCAGTTGACCTCTGGCGGATACCGCCAAGTTGGTTAGGATGGAAGATATCATGCTTGACGGCGTCAAACTGTATCCTATTGGCAATCATCTTTTCGATAAGTTTACCGAAAGTGATGAGGAGTACGATTGGCCTGAAGGCCTTCGGCACGGAGTAGGAGGGCTTGTTCGGCTTCGGAACGATAACTGATAGCGACTCCTTGAATATACGTGGCCAATGACCCACCCGAAGGCAAGCATTGGCCAACACGATGAAGAGCGCAAGGACGTGTTTATCCTTGAGCAGCTCCTTTAGGTGGACCCAAGTGACATGGTCCGGTCCTGGTGCAGAGGAGTTGGAGCACCCCTTAAGGGCACTCAACAACTCATGCTCCGAGAAGTCAGCCCACTCACAGACCCGGCTCATCGGGAAGCTCGTCTAAGACTGAGGCATCGTACTCGCGACCAGAGGCCGAGTTGTACGTGCCGTGGAGGGCGTCCCAAAGGTCGTCCATATCATGACAAGGCTGGTTGCCATTGCGAATAGCCTCACAGGGTGGTAGCTTGCGCTGCGCCACAGACTGGATTCTGCGGGCCGCGCACCACAATCCGCTCACCATCGATGGGGGCAATGCCTTCGTGGCCCAGATGACGTCCTTTGTGAACGCCGTCATGGCCACTGACTTTAGTCGTATTCGCGGACCTGGCGAACTCAACAACTTCTCGCTCGCCTCCCTCCTTGAGGCCGAGACGTCTTCCAAGGATGAGCCGACCATCCATCCGGCTCCCGTATTCAGGCCTCCTCCTCCTGCTGCCCGTGGGCCGCTCGACGAGGGCGTCGCTGGTGTTGGGGCTTCACCCGACGTCCTCATGCAGGCTTTGGACGACCTCGGTCGCCCGGCCTCCCCTCCTCGCATCCCCGCTTCCAAGAAGCGCAAGGGTGTTGATCGTCCGGTCCCACCTCCTCCTCAGAAGAAGAGTAAGGTGGCCTACTCTCACCCTGGTCCGCCTCCGCTGATCAACCGCGCCACTAAACCCAAGCCCCGTCCAACGACGTGGGCAGGGATTGCCAAACAGGCCGCTCCGATGCCTCCCCCGCCTCCTGGTTTGGGACCGCAACGTCGTGGGCCTTCTCCTCCCCCCGCATTCCCAACGGGTCCGATGAAGACTTCACCTCATCGGTCCGTTCCTTCTTTTACTTCCGAGGGCCCCACCCGGAAGCAGGTTCTCGTGTCATTCGGGGGTACCCCTCCTGACCTCACGAAATTCTTCACCGAGTCGGCTGTTCGTGCAGCCAACGGATACCTCAGGGATGGTCGATCTATGTTGAAGGTCACCTCCATTGTCCGCGCCTACGACGGTTTGTCGTTGGTCACCCCCACTGTTGCCAGTTCGTCTGATCTGGACATACTGCGTAACTTTATCCGCGAAAGCCTCCCAATGGGTACCCCGTTTGAGGTTGCGCTCCCGTCGTACTTTTAT